CCTTTTCTTTTTTATAGAGATGAGGTTTCACCATGTTGGCCAGGCAGATCTTGAACTCCTGACCTCAAGTGATCCACCCACCTCAGCCTCCCAAAGTGCTGGGATTAAAGGTCACCGCACCCGGCTCACCTTTATTGTTAATGTGCTCCTCTTTCCTTCATCTAGGATGAAGGGAACAATCCCTTACTGTAAAAGGTCCTTTCAGAATCTCTGTTGATGTATATATAGTTACAATTGATTTGGGATGAGGGTGGGGAAAAAAGCCCCCCAACCCGAAGCTACTGGTTTTATAATACAAATGACCAAAAAGGTAAATGTCATCAAAATCTTGTCCAGTGGAAGGTGGTTTTTAGAAAGTTGAGAAACACAATTTTAAATATCATCGTTGTAATGGTGTAATATCTCTTACTTCCTTTGAAATACATTTGGTGGGAGTGGGGAGTAGAAATAAAAGAAGCCAGGTTAGTACATTAGTTTCCTAGCCTACCATAACCAAGTACCATTAAAGTGGTTGGCTTAGAACAGCAGAAGTTTATTGTCTCTGGAGACAGTAAGTTCTAGAGGCTAGATGTCCAAAATCAAGATGTTGAAAGGGCATCTTCCCTCTGAAGTCATTAGAAGAGGATCCTTTTCCTCTTCTAGCCTCTGGTAGCGCCAGGCATTCCTTGGCTTGTGGCAGTGTAATTTCTAACCTTTGCCTGTGTTGTCACATGGTATTCTTCCCTTGTGTGTCTATGTGTCTTAGAAGGACACAGTCATATTAGCTAATTAATGGGTCACCCTACTCCAGTATGACCACTTCTTAGCTAATTATATCTGTAATGACTGTATTTCCAAATAAGGTCACATTCAGAGGTACTGGAGTTAGAGCTTCAACATATCTTTTTGGGGGACACAGTTCAGTCCTTAACAGTTAGTATTAATAAATATTGAAGCTAAGCTTACTTTTCTTCACTTTTGTATGTTTGAATATTTTCTTCATAAAAGGTTAAAAAAATTGCTCTTATAGCTCATTAGGACTGATAAGGATCTGGCGATACAGTTTTATTACATATTACTCTGATTTGCCCCTAATAGTTATACACTACTACATTGAAAAGTATTTGCCTGGGCACAGTGGCTGATGCCTGCAATACCAGCACTTTGCGAGGCCAAAGATGGGAGGATTGCTTGAACCCAGGAGTTCAAGATCAGCCTCAGCAACACAGGGAGACTGTTTCATTACAAAAAATTAAAAAAATTAGCTGAGTATGTTGGCGCATGCCTGTGGTCCCAGGTACGCAGTAGGCTGAGGTGGGAAGATTGCTTGGGCCTGGGAGTTTGAGGCTGCAGTGAGCTATGATCATGCCACAGCACTCCAGCCTGGGTCACAGAGCAAGTCCCTGTCTCAGGAAAAAAAAAAGTATTCTAAGAGGAGTGTATTGATCTTTGGAGAAAGAGGGTACTTTGGTGAGAATAATAGTAATTTTATCATAATTGAGTGTTTGCTACTGCTTGGAATCTGTCCTATTTATTTTTCTTTGTAATATTTGCTTATACTTTACTTTTTTTCTTTTTTAAATCAATTTGCAGAAGAAGACATTTTGAATAAGAGCCTTGATGCAAAAGAACCTCCGTCTGACTTGACAAGTTGAAGACGTACCTATTTAATACGACTATGATGCACTTAAATTGAAGCTATGCCACAGGATAGAAACTGATTTATAACTTAAATACATATTGGAAGTGTAGCACTGTTTTTCAAGGTTTAAAAAAAATTCCAAATGCCTTTTAGCCTTCTTTAATATTTTTAGGTAAGGAAAGTATGTTAGGATTTTTTCTTTTTGTAGGTGTATGAGATTGAAATGTGAAGTATTTGGAAAGCAAATGTCAAGCAATGGGAAGCCATTTTGATTTCCTGAGTAATCTTGTAAGCATTAAGCATAAATGACAAAGTACTAGTGTAATTCTTATAACTTAAGTCAGTTAATATAAGGATGAGTAGTTTTTGTTGTATGTTCACTAAGTGGTTAATAGCCATTGAATATACTAATCTTAAATCTTAGGGAAGTATACAACTTTTACTGTTTCTTTATGGAACATTCTGGCTAACCAGAAAAAGCGAGAAAAATAGTGCCTTGTGATGTGTAGTCAAGATGACAAATTTTAAGACTGGAAAAGCTCTAAAGAGGCTTCATGATTATTCAAGTAGTATGATCCCAAGTAGTGATGTTTGGTAGAATAAAGTGCATGTGATGATTAAGTGAAGACTGGGGCAGAATGATTTAAAAAAAGGAAAAAGATGGAAGAAGATGAGTAGACACTTGCAAGGAACACTGTCAAATTATAAATCCATCCAGTGGGTTGTATAACATTTACGTTTAGTCTAATTTAGACTTTGATAATTTAATCCTAGTTTAATATTTTAACAAAAAATATAAATTTTCATTAGTCTGTTTTATTGTTGTTGGGTTTTTTTGAGGTGCCCTCTGTTGGGGGAGAGGAACAAGGAACAACCATCAAAATTCCTCATTCCCTACAGAATAGCCTCACAATAACTTGAGAAAACTGAACTTGGGGTTAAATAACTTGGCATGCTGGCACAGTCTCCTGCCTCATTCCTTCAGATGCCCTGCCCAGAGAAAGACTTGTGTCTAGCATCTAAGTGAACACATACTATTCGCCCTCTGTAAAGCAGGAGGAATGGAACAGGCACTGGGAGGGTGATCTTACCTACAGTGCCCTTCATAGACCCCATCTCACAGCCATCAAAATCTTGTCCACTAGTCCCCAAGGAACTGGCAAGGAGAGAAGGTGGAGGGGAAATTTATGGAAGTAAGTGGCTTAACAGTCATCTTTCTTCACTTATCTTGGGCTACCTGTCTCTAAGTCGTTTGTCCTGTCCCAGTGTGAAGACTCATCTTTTTGTGAGAAAAGACAAAAGAAAGCACTTGTAACTACCTTCTTTGTAATGGAAAAGGAGGAAGAAAAAGCTTCACCTAAGCTGCTGTCTTTTATTAGTTAATACAGCAAATCAGGGACTCAGCAGGTCTATGGGGAAACTATTCTTTAGTCTGCTTTAAGAAAACTCAGGATCTGAAAATCTTAGCATGTAAGGCTGTCTTATCAGCATCTGCAGAAGTGCCATGGCCATTGCTAGACACTTAATGTGCATTATTTCACTTAATTATATTTTAAATATGCTTCCCTGGTAATTCTTCAGCTCAACAAAGAGTGAGAACTGCTGCTAGGAAATAGAGATTCACATTTAACCCTGTGGTACTTTTAAGAAGCAGGTATGTGGTTGCATATATGCTTTGGTAGAGATTGTTAACCATCTAATAGGGAAGCTCAGTTTCGCCAGTCAAGTCTGAGAAGCCCTTAATTACTGAGAATCAAAAGAGCAGAATCTGTAGACATTTTGGATTTGTTTAAAAAAAAAATGTTAAGTGAGTTATACCTGTGATAGGCTGAAAGTTTTTGACATTCTTTCCTGTTCTTTATGTGCCAGTACCATAAACAAAATTATCTCACATGTATCACTTTCTTTTCCTAAACCACTGTGATTGCAGCTTTTTGCCTTCAGCCTTTTCCCTATCCAGTAGCTCCTGCATAGTTGCCTTGTGATCTTAAGGAACTGTTTTGATTGGGTCACTTCCTTGCTTAAAATTCCCTTAATGGTTCATTGTTAATTCTAGAATTAAGTTCAAATTTAAAGACATGTAAGATCCCTTTAATGGATTTTGTCTATTCCCCCTTCCACTGTAATCTCCCATTTTTTTACTGAACTGTTTCAGTGAGCATGGGTCTTTAGAAACCTTGATTTACAATTCTCCTGAGGCAGGAATACCTTGCCTTCCTCTCCTAGCTTACCACAATTACAGCTGTATTTTAAATCTCAGAACAAATCTGACTTCTACCTTGAAGTCTTAATCTACCCTTTTTATATCCATGTGCCTAACTCCTCCTCTGAAATATTCTATGATTTGTCTTTTTATTCATTTAATATTCCACTAATTTTATTATTTTTTTATGTTTGTGTGTGGTCTCTCTAGTTATAGCAGTGCATACATAAATACAGATACACCTATGTAAATATGTGTTGGGTGTATGCATTCATACATATACCCCAAGGGCCATGTGTCATCTTTAGCAATATTTAAGTATTGGAATTGTTTTGTTTGCCCCCTATATCATGGAATAAATGGTAAAGAGGGCGAAGTTATTGCTGTAAGTATATTTCTCATTACATTAACATTAGACATTATATAGAATGTATTTTGTTTTATTCACTATTTGTTAAGATACAAAGGTGTATAAACTGACTTCTACATCAGCTTGAAAACCTGAGATAATGCTAAAATGTTTTAGTTATTTTAAATGTTTAAAGAGGGAAGCGTATAATATTGCTAAACGTGAAAAATGGTATCAAGTAGAATAAAGAATAGTTGAAGTTAACATTTGGGGGAAATTTAACTGAAAACAAAAATACAAGTATTTTGAAACCTTTTCTTTACCGTAAGTCTCTTGACTTTGAAGTCAAATTTATCTAAAGTAAAAACAGGAATTCTGGAGACCTATATAAAAGTTATTATTTTCCTACTCTGAGTGTACTAAAATTAAAATACATTGAATGAAGTTTTCCTCAATGTACAAGTATTGAAGTAAATGTTTCTTTTGTATTATGTTGCAGATATAGTTAACTCTAGAAGTGACCTTTTTCCTTATGCACTGTGAATAGCAAGTCGGCATCCTATGTTTAAAATATTTGAGAATCCTCTATGGGACTCTTAGTAAATGTTTTAGATACTGTTGTTTTCAATAAATATTTTATATTATCTGGCTCTGGAATTTCCTATATAATATCAAAAAGAACTATGTCCCTGCAAATTGTAGGATGATGACATATAAAGGTATATTAATAACCTGATCTGCAAAATAAATTTGAGAGGTTCAGCGATTCAGGTAAACATATTTTGTTATTGCCATTTTAATTACTAGATTTACTGTATGTAATATTTTTAAATGATTTTTAAAAGTATATCTATAGCATCAGTTTCTCATCTGGAGTCTTTATACTAGTTTATTGCCAATGACCCTAATTAATATTTATAAATTATACCTGAATAGCTTCTTACTCTTCATGAGTGGTGTCATCACATCTGCTGCTAGAAAGGGATTAATAAATATTAAATAATTTTATAAAGCCTTAGAAATTCCAAAGCCCTATCACTTACATTTACTGCCTATACAAAGATAGCACCTAGGGTGTAAAATGAGAGGCTTAGAGTTGATCACAGGTCTCTTGACTCTAAAATACTTAGATTTCTTTTCCATCTATAAGGCAGCTATTGCTGGAACTGGAATGGAACACTTTAGATATGTTTTCCAATTTTACTACACCACATTGCCAATCCAAATTAGAAACCTCAGAATCCTTCCTCAAAAGTAGGTGATCTAAGAATCTGGTTCAGTATTATCCAATTTCCAGATAAATACAAATGGGAAAGTGATCTTGCCCCCAAATAAGTGAAACTCTTCCTTGAGGGAGGTTGGTTAGCTTCCTGGGCTTTGGCTTACTCAGTATGCAAATTTGGAATTATATGAAGGAATAATCTATATCTAAAAAGCTGGGGCCCATTACCAGTGCTGATCTGTGCATGCAAGTTATAAGAACAAAAAAAATGGCCAAGTGAGGTGGCTCATACCTGTAATTCCAGCACTTTGGTAGGCCGACGCAGGCAGATCACTTGAGGTCAGTAGTTGGAGACCAGCCTGGCCAGCATGGTGAAACCTCGTCTCTACTAAAATTACAAAAATTAGCTGGGCATGTAGTCCCAGCTACTTGGGAGGCTGAGGCAAGGAATGGCTCGAACCTGGGAGGCAAAGGTTGCCGTTAGCCTGGATCGTGCCATTGCACTCCGGCCTGGCAACAGAGGGAGATGCCATCTCAAAATAAACAAATAAATAAAAAGCTAGGATTCTTATGGTTAACTTTTCAGTGGAAGTAACGGGGTGTAATGATTAGGAGAGTCAGTAGTCAGATTGCCTGGATTTAGCTGTATGACCTTAATAAGGTCATAGCAGTTTGCTTATCTGTTAAAATAGAAAGTAACCTACCACATAGGTTGTGAGGATTGAGTAAGATAAATGCACACGTGTTTTAAGAACACCTGACATTCCCGGGCACAGTGGCTCACACCTGTAATCCCAGCACTTTGGGAGGCTGAGGTGGGCGCATCACTTGAGGTCGGGGGTTGGAAACCAGCCTGACCAACATGGAGAAACCCTGTACTAAAAATACAAAATTAGCTGAGCGTGGTGGCAAAACACCTGACATTTAGTAAGGGATCAAATATTCAAATAGGTTTCACGTCAGTAATTTGGGGAAGAATGGCTCAGTAGGTGGTAATGGTAGTTAACACATAGTACTGAGTATGCCCTAGACACCATTCCTAAATAGTTTTCATGTTGAATTTAATCCTTTAACAATCCTCTCAAGTGTTTTTTGTTTTTGAGATAGGCTCTTGCACTGTCAACCAAAACCGGAGGGCAATGACACAATTATGCCCCAGTGCAGCCTCTCCCTCCTGGACTCAAGCAATCCTCCTTTCTCAGCCTCCCAAGTAGCTAGGACTATAGGCAAGCACCACTATGCCCAGCTAATAAAAAAATTTTTTTTTTTTTTGTGGAGACAGGGTCTCGCTATCTTGCCCAGGCTGGTCTTGAACTCCTGGTTTCAGGTGATCCTCCCAACTCAGCTTCCCAAAGTGCTGGGAAGTGAGCCACCATGCCTGGCTATGAAGTAGTATTCTGACCCACAGTTTACAAATAAGGATACAAGTGTAGTGAAATTAAGTATTTTGCCCATGTTCAGAGAGCTAGTAAGTGAAGGGACCAGAATACTGACTCAGGTGGTCTAGCTTGACCCCACAGCATAAGCACTTCTACAGCTGTTACCAAACATCACTCAAGTGCTGGGGGCTAAACTCACAAAATCAAATATGCCACTTAATCAGTATTTGTGGGCAGTCAGAATTTAGATTTACATATTAAGCACTTTAAAGTTATTTCAAATAAGACCATGTTTTAAATTGCTAACACGTTTATTCATGAATGAAGCCAAGAAGAGTTTATAAATGCATTTTAATACCTTGCTGATAAAATAGTAACATTCCATCTTTGCAATCTGATACGGAATACAGTAAGATACTGGTAAAGGCTTTGATGTGCATATCTATTATAACCAGGTAATCAGAACACACACGAACCACCTACTTTAGTGTTACACCATACCATCTTCTCAGAAAAGCCAGCTTCAAGCTCTACTGGGTAGGTAAGTAGCGTCCAATGTTTAAAGACTGGAGAGCAGGGGAAAAAGATGAAAGGAGAAAGCAGCGCACACTTCAAAGCCCACTTTTAAGCACACGACATTATGAATGTTAAAAATAAAGGATGCAAACAAAAAAGGAATTCGGCATTTTCAGAAAGAGCATTTGGGACTATTCAACGCATGAGGAGACTGTGCTTGGGGCCATCCACTCTCTCCAGCTTCTCAAAGTGTTTCCTGGCATTGCGAATGTTGATCAGGGTGGCCGCAGAAGGGATCGACGGATCTGACATGACCACCATCACGTACGTGTTTGAGGTGAAGATGTCGATGAAAGCTGCGAAGTTGGAATTCCTAACTTCCATGCTCTGAAAGGAAGCGGCCAATTTACTGCAGCTCAGCTTGAACTGCTTGATGATGTTGCTGATCTTCTCAAACCGGTGGACGTCGCGCTGCTCTTTGCACTGGTAGTGGGAAATAACCAAGAACGTAGCTCTTTCGAACAGCAGAACTTCATCGGCCTCGATGATTTGGGCAAAATTCCTGAGGTTCATCTCCAGCTGCTGAACGTTGGGAATTAGCTGGTAGACGATGCTGGACCAGGCTTTGTAGAGCGTCTCATCCCAGATGGACGTTCGAAAACAAGCACACTCCAGCGGGCGAGACAGACGCCTCAGGTCTTCCTCTCGCTCTTTAAAAATCAGGTCACGCTGATCTTCCTGAACCAGATCCATTTTGTGCACCAGGCAGAAGATTTTGGCATCAGGAGAGTTCTGGAGGATGGCCTCCAGACATGACTGGTAATAATGCATATCCTTTTCCAGTTCACGGCTCTCCACGTCAAACACGTAAATCAAAACCTCTACGTTACGGAAGATGTTGTCTCGCTGGCTGGTGAAGTAATTTTCCATGAAGGTGTCCTGACCGCCACAGTCCCACAGGTTCAGCACCAGGTTCCCCAGGAATCGGACGTGGGAGTGCTCCACGTCAATGGTGGCCCCCAGGCGCCGGGTGTCGCGAGCAATATAATTGGCGAAGATAATCGACCTCATGCTGGTCTTCCCCGACCCGCTCTTTCCCATCAGCAGCACCTTTTTCTTCATGGCTGTATTTGGCATCACCCGCCGGGGCCGCCGCGGACTGGGCCTGAGGGCGCGGCCTACACGCAGCGCCAAGGGAGGGAGACAGGGCTGCCGGGAGCTCACAGGCCGGGCCTCGCTCCGCTCCGCCGCGCAGCTGGGCAGGCAGGAGAGCCGAGAGCGCGAGTTAGGAGCTGGAGAGGCTGCAGCGGGGCTGGTTCTTTCTCAAAGAGGAGCGGCTGCGGCGGTCGGCGGCAACTGCACCGGAGACGCGCTCGCCTTCCGGAGAGAAGAGCCGCTGCGTCCTCGCCACCGCCCACTTCCGGCGGCGATCTCGCGAGAGCTCCTGCGCTCAACCGTCCCTGCCGGAGGAGCTTTGAAAAGCTGCTATTTTAATGAAACCCAACTGTGCAGCGCGAGCCCTAAGATGGAAGGGAAGTCCAAGAACTCCGGTGTTTTGTTCTGTTGCAGCTGGCCTTGCGGTTGCTAGGGTTACGTGTATGGTTGGCAGGGGGAAATGCTGCCCTCTCGTGGCCAAAAAAAGCCTCAACCACCACCACCACCACCACCGCAACTGGCTTTAGGAGCGAGATGCGCTGGGCGGGTTTCTGCAGCTGACAGATGAAGTGGAGGTAAAGCCCAGCGGGATCCCAGTCCACTTAGGCCTCCCCGGGTTCCCTGGCTCAGTGAGTACAAGGGCAGGGCGGATGGAGACTGTGCAGGTGCGGAAAGTGAGACTTAAGACAAGTGAAGCGATTGCCCGCTGCTGCGCAGCTAGATGACAGCAAGTCCCTCCTGGGAGACATCCTGGCTTCCAGATGTGCTTTAAATTCCTTTCTCACATCTGCTTTCCCCGTAATCTCAGACTTTAGAATTTATAATTAGAATTCCAAAGCTCGAGGAAACGATAATCTGGAATTCCATGCATTAGTTCCATCCTTACAGTAACCCTGTGAATTAATAATACTATTTTCAAGTGAGGGAATCAAAGGTTAGAGAGGTTAAGTCACTTGACCAAATTACACAGATACTAAATGATGAAATGGAATTTGGTTTTAGACTGACTGCAATACATTTGCCTAACAATAGGCCACACTGTGCCCCTCTAAAGCATAATATGATTCTACTCTTGATCCTCGAGTAGATGAGTGAATCAGTGTCATCCAGTATCATTCATTCAGAATGAATGAGAGTCATCAGGATACTGAAGCCTCTACATCTACCTTAAAGCCCCTCTTCCCTCCCTCCCTTCCTCCCTTCCTTCTTTTGACAAAGTTTCACTCTTGTCGCCTAGGCCGGAATGCAATGGCAGGATCTCAACTCACTGCAACCTCCGCTTCCCTGGTTGAAGCAATTCTCCTGTCTCAGCCTCCCAAGTAGCTGAGATTACAGACGCCTGCCACCATGCTTGGCTAATTTTTGTATTTTTTTAGCA